AAGCGCTCTGGGGACCAAGCACAGTCAAGTAAAATACCCTAAAGATGATACTAAAGAATAATAGATTGATTTACTTTTGTTATCACATATTGGTGCCTGAAACCTTTAAAGCCCTAAATCATAAAGTAACATCATGGTCTGCCAACAATAAAGTAGGAATCCAGATTATGGGTGCTCGCTGGTGCTTATGCCGCTGGATCCCACAAAAGTTTTAATAAAATTTAATATATGTACACTAATAAAAACTTGGGTTTTTAAGTGTTTTATTAGCAGTGTGGGGTAAGATTGGAAAAGCAATCCCTTCAATATCTGACTAAACCAAATTTAAACTGTTTCAAGGGTTGGGGGAATTTGAGGATATCTTCAGAATATCCTGACGCATTCTGAATTAGGAAATATGGTATACTCGTCTATCAGAATGTGGGAAATGTGAGTTACTTGTTGAAAAACGATAGTTGGGGTTTTGGGGCAGAATGTACCCATGCAGTAAGGTTTTGATGAATTTCAACCAATCACCACTTGATAAAAAGCTTTCACCTTGGGGGACCTCTACCACGCCTATAAAAGGGGGTGGTCCCCACGTAGGTGCTTTGAAGGACCTGCTGGTGGTTGGGGGTGCACCTTCTGATGGTTGCCCCACGGTCCATCATGAGGTCAGAGTAATCCAACCGCTTGATTTTACATTTATTGCCGGTACAAGTTTTGAAATGGTGTTACCCTGATTAATAGGGTTCCACTGAGGTTTTGGCCAGGGTCTTTTGGCTGAGATCCTCAAAACCATCATTGTTATTAATCATATCACTTTTTAGATTATCACAAAATTGTAAATGGTTGCATTTCCCCATTTCAGCTGAGTTTGACCCAAGACATTTTTCCTCTGCAGCTGAGAGGGCAAATGTCTGACAAATGGGACACACTTGAGGAATTAAGGCTATCAACCTGATAAAGTGAAAACATGACTGGAATGGTTTACCAAAAGATGTTCAAGCTTAGATAGGGTGCTTCCTAACTTGTGCTTGATCCAAATCTGACAGATAAGGGAAAAATGAAAACCTACATTCGCTGCAACAAGCAGTGGGACCATGGAGATAGGTATCAGTTGATTTCATAGTCAGTCTACACACTTCAAAAGGGACTGACACAATCATAGTAGTTGTGGACAGACTCAACAAATATGGCCCTTTCTTCCCATGCTTAACTATAACCATGGCAGAAAACTTGGCCCATTTAAATGTGACCCAGGTCTTCAACATGTTTGGGGTACCACAGAGATATTAGTGATAGGGAACCGCAGTTCACATCAAAATTATGGGATGCCTTGTTTGAGACACTTCACAGAAACCCATGCCAATCATCAGCTTATCACCCCAAGTTCAATGGACAAACTGAGAGGACTAATCAGTCCCTAGAGCAAAATCTCTGGTGCCACGCCTCAGCTGCTTGAAAACCTGGGCAGAGACTTGCCTTATCCCAGTTTGCATACATTAATTCCTTGCATGCCTCTACTGGAATGTTGCGCTGTATGACAACATAGATGGATTTGCTTCAGCGTGGTTGGAGGTGTTTAATTAGTTGTGTCCAAAAATTTCATCATTTTGGTTTTGTTGGGTTATATGCAGGGGATCTGATTGGTTATTCCGCTGCGCTGCCATGGCATCCGCCTGAATCTGTTCTGGGGAAATCGTGGTGCGAGCTTGGGTGTCAGCGGAACTTGTGGCCTGCTTGCAGGCAGTCTGTGTGCGACAACAGTCCTTGCACAAAATGGGCTCGACCAAAGCAACATCAGCTCTTTTGCCCCAATGGAAGCCAAAAGTGGAGTCCTTAATTTTGCCAAAAGTTTGGCTTGTTTCATCCATATTGTCCTCACAAAATTCCAGTGCTTCAATCCCGCACTTGATGGGGCATGCGTGGTCTTTGTGGCCTATAGCTGAGCAGAAGTCGCAGATAGGTGGGGTGTGTTCCAGTGTGATGCAGAAGGGGCGAGATACACTGCCATTGGGGAGGTTGATGGTCACCGTGCGTGGAATGAGGGTGATATCCTCTACCGCGTCCTAATCAGGTTCTATAATGGCTATTGCCTTCCCTGTACACAAGTGGGGCAGGAGGGGGAATTTCTCAAATTCAAACTGTTTGATTATGCTGTAACCATTGAGGCCCCCGCGGAGCTCGTCCTCAAGGATATCCTGGTGCATGGTACTCGGGAGTCAGTCAAATACAATGAATAGGTCATTTGCCTCATTCCATCATGTGCGCACTATGCGGATGGTGTGGTCTTCATTGTTAATTTTTATGGAGAATATGACTTTTGCTGCTTCTGCCGCTTCCTCTGCAGACATGAACCTGACATTCACCTATCCTCAATGTAAATTTTTATAATCTACTGAGATGGTGTTCAGGAAAGTCGTGGAGAAAGCCTCCCCCATTTTTTACCACAATTTGAGGGAAGTATTGCTGACCATAATTCTAAGGCCGTGCTCAAGGGAGGACAGGGTTGGGAGTGTTCTATTTTGGTATATGCACCCATTTTTTGCAGAAATTGCAAAACTCTGGGTGCGGCGCTGTGCTCACTCTTTTTGGTGGGAGGGTGTGTCAACATTCTGCCGGGGCATTTTTCCCTGGTGGGTTGGGAGGGCTTTGAGCCTTTCATGATGGACACTTTCACCCAACTGGTGTTGTTGCAGACAAATTTGCTCATATTGCTGGTTGATTGTCAATCTCAGATAAATTGCATAGAATCGTGTTACTAAAAGTGATAGTAATAGGAAAGAGCCGCTTGACAACATAGATACAACCCCAGCAATTATAATTGAGCCCCAAATTTACACAAATATTCCTGTGGCGGATACATTTACAACACACATGCAGAAAAATCCACCAGTAGGTGCAGAGGCAATTAACAAAAGCTCCTAGGATGCCAAGCGATTTGCTGACCAAAAACAGAGAGCAGCGCCCAAATATCAGTTTTGCGACCTGGTGATGGTGGACATTAAAAACCTTAGCCTCAAGGCATCCTGCCGCAAACTGGACTGCAAAAGGGCAGGGCCATTACTTACCAGCATACTCTTGAACAGTGGGTCCTTTTATGTGAATTTTCCCCCGCACTGGAAAATCCATAAATCTTTCCATGCATCAGCACTGTCACCGTTTATAGGGAAAAAACCTGTGGATATCAAATACTTGTTGGTAGAATGAATTACATTATTTGAGATAGAGGAAACCTTGTGTTCAAGGAAAATCAAATGGGGAATTCAATACTTGGTAGCATTGACAGTGTACCCCTCTTATGACAACAGTTGGATTCTGGCCTGCAATTGTACCAATTGTCAGATTTTATCACTGAGTTCCATGCGCAAAATCCTTCTTCCCCAACGTCTGATACTATGAAACCCCAGACCCTCGCAGCCATCAAGCTCCCCTTACCTCACAAAAACTATGCTCAGGTATGGGCTCCTTAGGAATAAGTTGACCCAGTCCTTTTAGGAAAGGGTAATGTAAGGATCCCAGCTGCACCAATAAATTGAATCGGTTGAGTCACCCCTTTTTATCAAAGAAAGGGGAATGTCCTTGAGTCTTCTGTTAGATAGATTATTGGATTTAGGGCACACTCTTGATGAGCGGTAGGTTTTTGCTGAGGCCCTCCATCTCAATTCTAAAATAAGCCAAATAGTGGAAGGGAGAATTTTGCCAGGAAATTAAATTTAGCTAAAGCCTATATTACAAAAATCACAACAATCCGCGTCTAAATTTTAGCACAAATGGGTGGATCAAGACTGAATTCACATCATGTCTTCATCACAGAATTGCATTTGGTAACAGTACCTCCAAATGGAAAAAATTTCATTAAAGGAAATTGTGAGATATGCTGGCATGCTAGAACCCCTACAGAAGCAAAAAAGTTGCAACAGGAACCAGAAATTGAGGCACCTGCGATGTGCAAACTGAGCCATGATGAAAAATTTTTTAGCGTTTTTAGGAAGATTCGCGCGTCCAATTGCAAAATAATGTTCCCCAGTCCCCGCCCTTCACTTCCCTTTAACTATAAGAATCTTGTACTCTAATGATGGTAGAATACTGGATATTATGTACTAACTTTAAAAAACTTCAATTCCGCCAAATTTCTTTAAACATTTTATAGGTTACTTTTATTCTGAGATCCCCAAAAAACCACCTCAAATAATGGAGGGTCCACACTCATTTGTATCAGTAATGATGGTGGCCGTCACTTTTATTTCAGATATTGCCTCTCTTAGTGTAGGAACCTTCTGGTTTTATACCCTACGAGTTTTCCAAGGTGCACCCACCCAGAAAAATGACTATCAAGAATCTCAAATTGAATGTAATTGGCAAATGTTCATTTTAATTTGTACAAATTATGGCAAAAACAAAAATGAAGATTAAGCAGTTGCATCTTGGGGAGACATTGTTGGGATTAAATTTGACAAAGCGATTTTCACCCCTCAGCTTCAAGTATGCGCTCAAGATATCAGGAGTGTGGCCCAAAAGTAACTAAGGAGGGCGGATTGACCCATTAATTAGTCCAATTCTCCCCAATCATGGAGGAAATGGAACAAAGATTTGGTAGATGCTTTTTAAAGCAAAATAGCTTGGATCAAACTCAATGAGACCATTATTACCGCATGTTAATAGGGGCATATCTAACTGAGTTAGGAGTTCTGCCCAAATGAAAAACACAATAGTCAGAACTGTTTTCTCCTGATGACCCTGGCAGTTTGACCCTCATATTTGAAGCGTATTCAAGATACTTCCAGCAATCAGCTTGTTGGTTGGAGAGGGGATGATGTTCATTGGCCAATAATTTCCACACTTGTAATCATATGGTTCTTACACATGTATCATCAAAATGGTGATGTCTTGCAAACTCTAAATTTAATCATGAGTATTGGAGTGCCCCAATGGATGCTAATTCTTTCTTTGCATGTTGATTGTCTGACAAAAAACTCAGTTATATTTATATAATTAGTACTAAAACATAATTTTTTGAAGGGGGTAAGGCGAATTGGTAGGGCATATGGCTACCAACCTGAAGGTTGTGGGTTCAATTCCCACCCTTCACACATCGATCAGGGTGCCAGTTAAAGGAAGCTATTGGCAATTAGTAGGTCTAATAACACGAAAACCTTACCCATGATGTAACCAGAAAAATTTGAGTCCCAATCTGGAGGTGGAAAATCTTTCTTCAATGGAGTTGACCCTGTTCAGTTTTCATTTTTTTTCTTTCCTTCTTTAGTTTCTTTCTTTTGGTAATGCCTGTCCCCTGGTCAGCTTACCTCAGTTAAATAAAAACATATTTTTTTTGATTTTAAGTAGAACTGATATTAAATTATTTATGATTTATTAAGAAATAGCCTATTACATTCCCAAACGTTTTAATTACTTGTGCTTTTTGGTGTGTTTTGTTTTATTTGTTCACTAGATAATGCATCATATATAAATAATGAAACACAATGAGATTTTTGTATGAGATTATAGCCTAATTTTCATCAAAACTCAGTTTACCCAGGTTTGTTTATGGGCTTAAAGTATACCTTTTATTCTTAATTAATTATTTTTATATTGGTAGATAGTGTCATGAGGGCTTAAGGATCCTTGGTTGATCAGAACCTGAGTATGAGCAACACCTCAAATTCAGGATTATCATTCATTGTAATCATTGGTGGCAGGTTTTTAGAATGGGGCATCCAGCACAAAATATCTGAGATGGCAAAGTAGGAATAAATCCCAAGAAAGAACAATAAGATTAATTAGTGGTAGAGTATTTTTAATAATTAATTAAAACTGTAATTAGGGTATTATACCCAATCAATTGATAATTTTTGAAGGGGAAGAGATTTTTATGGATCTCAAAGGAAAGAAGTTAAAAATGAATAGAAGGGAAAACTTTTCTTTCTCATTGCAAACACTTTTGCAACCCATTCAATTCAAGACTAAATCTAGTTTGATAATCTCATAGAGGGGATTAGTCTGCGCCCATGTCTGGGAGCAGTTGGGCAAGCAAGGCAAGAGGAGCAGGCGGAAGGCCTGCGGCCTCTAACGTTCAAAAACGCCCCAGAAAATCAGCGGAATAGAAAAAATCTAAAAAAACTGGCAGTCACAATTTCCCCAGAGATACTCATGTGGCAAGCACGATGCAACCAGTACATCAACACGCCACATTCCCAGCCACTTTTGTCGGTGGAATTCAGAGTCCGTGTATATCTGGACATCCAAAAAATGGCCCTATGGGAAAAATTTTGTGAAGATGTACACAAAATTTTCCCAATCGCGGTGTACGTTGCACCTCACTCCATGTCGCGTGGTTGGCTGGACCTAGGTTTTGAAAGCAAAATAGCAGCAGATGAGGCTGCAGTGGTGCGCATAGTGGTCAACCTCCCCGAAGGGCAACAGGTTGTCAAAACTAAATGCACCAGATAGACAAAATCAAATCAAATTTTCCTCACGTTTGACTTTTTGCCTACTATGATAAAATGTGACATTTTGGAGCAACACCTGAAAGATGGTCTCGCCATATATGGCGAAATACAATCTTTTGAAATGCAACATTTCACGCTGATGCCACACCTGTGCACTGGCAAAGCCATCGCAGTTCTGACACCAACTGAGGAGATTGCGAAGGACCTAACCCAGATCCCGCACTCCACCTTTATTGACATCGCAGGGCACACCACCCACCCATTCTGGGTAACCGTGGACAGCGCGCCCCCATTTGCACCCACTGTGATGCGTTCAGCCATAAGGTGCATGCATGCCCCATCAAAGAGGGCATCACATTCCAAGAGCACCCCTCAGCAGCCATGGCCAGCGGAGAGGCGCACTATGAACCAACCGCAAGCACCAAGGAGGCTTTCCCATGGGGAGCACAAGGCTGCTACCTATTGATAAAGCCCATCTCCCCGCAGGAGCAGAAGAAGGCCAAGCAGGCCCATAGGACCGCGGCCAAGGAAGCGGCCAAGGCCACCACCACTATCCCACACTCACAACGCCAGGAGGACATGGAGAACTTCGCGGCGGAAGCAACTTGGGAATCCATCACCCAATCAGATTGGGAGGCTCATGCTGAACGGGCCACTCTGTCTGAGGATCCAATGGGAGATTCGATCTCACCCAATTGCTGCACCCAAGCCCCAGTTGAAACTGACTTGGGACCTATCCCAATCAAAAATTTTTTTTTTTGCCCCACTCAACGGTGCACCAAACTTATCCGCACCTCAAAAAATTTGCCCGACGTCGGGAAAACAAAAAGCGAAGGCCAAAGCCAATGTGACTCTTTTGGCAAAAATTAACAAAAACCCCGATAGCGTTGCTGCTAATACCCGCGCTGCTGTGAAAGCCCGTGGGGACCTGGAAGAGGCTGGTGGGCCTGGGGGCCCACCCCCTTGCACCTAAGGTGCAGTGGGGGAACCTTCACTCTAGGGATGCTGAATATTGTCAGACTCAAGGCCTCCCCATCCCAGGCTAGGAAACTGAGTTTTTTACAAAACAATTTACCCGTGGATATCCTGGCCATCCAGGAGTCCCACTGTCCACAAGGTTCCGAGGAAGCTTGGAAAACAATGCTCCTTCCATCCCTATCCTTTTGGTTGAAGCACTGTGGGGTGCTAATTTGGAAAATCAATTTTTTCAAATTTACATCTTCAGAAACATTCCTAAATGGCCGAGTGCTCATTGTCACCTTCTCATGGGCCAATGTTGCACACACAATTGTCAACATTTACACCCCAAACGGTGCACATGAGCATCAGGAATTTTTCTCGTCATTCAAATCCCTCCTGCTACCCCCTGATTCTTTCCTAATTGGCAACATGAACTGTTGGCTAACCTCACCAACGGACCTTTGGACGCCCTCACCCCACGCCCCACAGGGTCACGTAGAACTACGCGTTCTAAAAGCCACCCTTGGGTTAATGGATGTGCTGCCATGACATGCCTTACTGCTCGAAAACATGACGCATCCCCACATCCACAACAGCCAATTAAGGTCCATGACCCACATCAACCTTATTCTAGTGCTGGCGAAATTCCAACCCCACATCTCCCACTTCAAAACAACAAAAATGGAATTCTCTGACCACTGACTGGTCTCAATAACATACCACTTAGCCGTCACAGTTGCAAAGGCCCCACATTGGTGCAAAATCTGCCCCCAGAGCTCACGTCGCCAGGATTTTCCATGTGAGTGGAAGAGGCAACTTTGGCAAAATCGTTTGTTGCACCGTTTTGCGCGGACCCCATTTCCACATGGGCAACTTTCAAAGAAGACACCATCCGCCACTATTGCCATCTCTCATCCAGACGCTCACGAGCCACATCGGCGGTTATATCACGCACGCTGGCGGAATTGGCCCACTTGGAGTCCAACATTCCAGCCTCAGGATATAGCCCTGCATGGGGCCAGAAGTGGGCGGAGGCAGCCGCCCACCTCAACGCATTTGAAAGGCAACATAAACATCGGGTTTGTGTCCAATACAGGGCCACACGCATCACTAAAGGTGACAAGTGCACTGCATACTTCTTCAAAAAAAATTTTGCACCATGCCAGAGCGTGGCCTGCACACAGGTGCAAAGATTGGATAATTCTATTGTGGACACACCGGCTGAAGTAGCAATTGAAACGCAAAGATATTACTCCAAGTTATACCGAGGTGAACCAATTCAGCCAGCTGAAATGGCAGAATTTCTCGACTGAGCTCATATCCGCACCATTTTCTGATACCCAGAAATAATGAATTTAATTACTCCAAATGAATTATGAACTACCATTCGCGGTGCGCCAAACAGAAAATGCCCAGGCCCAGATGGCATTCCATATGAGTTCTACAAAAAATATTTTAAATATATATCCCCACTGCTGCTAGCCTCACTTAACCAAAGCCTGTTGGAAACACGCCTCTACCAGGAGGACATGAGGCCTTTACTGTCACACTCTTCAAGAAAGGGGATAGGCTAGACTTAGACAACTGGCGCCCTCTTTCTCTAACAAACACAGACACCAAAATTTTAACCAAAATCATGGCTAACCATTTAGGGACTGTAGCATCTGCCACTATTTCCCCAGAACAATTTGGTTTTATCCCCAGAAGGTCGATTTGGGATAATGTGCACTCTGTGGCTAATGTGTGTCAGTCCACAGCCTCTGGGGCACTTGTATTCTTGGACCAACAAAAGGCCTATGTTAGAGTAAACTGGGAATACCTTAGGGCCTGCCTCCAACAATTCCGCCTACCTCCCCGCTTCATTAACTGGGTGATGCTGCTCACAGAATCTACAACAATAGCTTTGCGCGGCCCAGGTTTCCTAACAGAAGTAGTCTGTCCTCAAAGGGGCCTGTGACAAGGGGACCCCCTTAGCCCACTCTTATACAACTTCAGCCTTGACCCACTACTGCGAAATGTGAATGCCCAACTCACTGGGGTCCATGTGCCAGGCCAAACCCCAGTCAAGATGATGGCATTTGCAGATGATTGCGTGGTGGGGATGTCTAATAACAAAGATGCATGCGCGCTTGAAGCCCTCATCCAGGAATATTCCCGGGTAAGCAACATGGCACTGAACGCCTCCAAACCGAAATCATCCTCCTTGGTCAGTTTCAGAACTGCTGGGCCCCAGCAAGTAGTTCCCAACCTGGCCCATCTGCTCGCCCACGTCAACACCTTACTAACTCAAAACACACCGCTCCACTGGTGCTCCCCTTTGTGCCACGACCTACCATAGGACCGGTACGCCATCTGGGCGTGTGGTTGGAGGCAGGTGGATATGCGTCAGCAGTAATGGAGTGTCATATACTGGACAACGTGACAAAGTGAATCGCCTCTCTCAGAGCCCACCCTACTACCCTCACTGGCAGGGTTGTTCTTGCCAACTCTATGCTCCTATCCAAAGTCTGGTTCGGAGCCCACGCCATCCCCTTCTCCCCAAGCTTCTTCAAATCCCTGTATGCTTTGCTACAAGGTTGGCTTTGGTCAGGCCGCCCTCCACCAGTACGGCTAGAGGTCATGTTTGGCCCTCATCATCATGGTGGCATGGGCCTACTTAACTTCAAAGCCCATGCCGCCAAA